TTTGATCACAACTATCTGCACCACGGCATGAGGACGTAAAGAGCAATTATGGCAAAGTTCCTGTATGCGTTCTTCGACCTGGGCCCTCCCGAAGAGATAGACGTGAAAAGGCGCAAGGCCTTGGAATCGATTACGAGCCCAGACTGTCACCCGCTCAGGTCCTTTACCTACGACCTTGCTGACCAACTCGACCGAAGGGCGGTAAGAATCGCAATCCTGCAAACGTGAAGAGACAGAGAGCTAAGTTGCCATGCAGCCATTAGTACTTCATCAATATGGAGCCACAAATGCCTGTGACAACTACGCTGCGTATTGCAAAAAGAGAATAGTAGGTTCGCATGGAATAATTCTGAACCAGTTCATCGAAACTTACCAAGTCAGATCCCACAGCTGCAAGAGTATTTGAGATCCCAAGGGTTGGAACTTTCTGATCAAGAGCCGGAAGCGCAATATCCGGCGCGACTTGATGCACGGGTTAGGCTGAATATAAGAGAAGGCCGTTATGCAGACGTTTTGCTGCCCATGTTTGAGGGAAGTGTGAATGAAGATATCCAGGTGCCGAGTCACAACAGCCAGAACCTCAAGCACAACAAAAGGATCGAATGGAAGTCGATCGAGGCATTCCATCCCCACAACTGTCGTCTCATGTTATCAAACGGCCAGATGTACTATATGCATTTGATGTACAGAATCCAACCGACGGGACAATCGAGTACAACTGGAAGGAATGAACCGACTGCGTTATCGGAAAGTCATTGAATCATGTTCACATGGGCAGCGTATCTTCAAATATACTGCCGTCTGATTTCAGCGAAACGAATCATGGGTACCAGGCCGATACGGGGGGAAAAATGGGAGGAGTCACATCGGCTTCGGGTACAAATATCTCCAAAAGTTCTTCGATGTCTACGGGGCTGCGGAGCTTGTTAGCCGAGAACGGAGTGATTGCTTGGCTGACTGGAAGGGGACACTACATGACGTACTTCAAGCGATAATTCAGATTGGCTGCTACCATATTGACCGGAGAGATGCTCTCCGAATCCTTTGAAAGCCGTTGCGAATTTGCCTGATCTGACCTTTCCATGAGCTCGCGCGTGAGCTCCTTCGTGATATACTCTTCTGCTCCTTGATAGCGGTGATTCCGTAGTAGGCTGAGAAAGGTCCTGTCTATCCTATGTTAGCCCTGAGCACGGAAGCGGATTAAGGGACATACTGTTGAAGGGAATTAAGTTGGCAATGTTTCTAGGTGGCCCTCTTTGGCTTTCGAGAAGCCGACACCCGAACTCGAACGCGTCAATGACTTGATCAACCTGGGAGTCTTGGGCTAATAGAGCAGAAGAGCCGGTGTTTGCGAAAAAGTGTCTTAGATCCCTCCGGATTGTAGAAAGAAGATCATTGTAGGGGTTTTTAAGGAGAGGGTTGTGTCTTTCATGTCGGTTTACTCCGTATTGTTTTCTATACTCAGCTCTCAAGACGCTGAGAGTTGCACCCAGTAGAAACTTGAGGAAGGAAATCTCGTTTTCCTGCTCGTTTGCCTGCGATACCGTCCGGCTCATAATGCCTTCCAGATACTTGTCGAAACGATCAAAAACACGCCTAAGCTCCTTCTGGGAAATTTGAGCGGCCTTCTCACAATCGTCTCCATCATCTAGGGCATCCTCCTCGTGATGTATGTCCTCCTTAGTCGACGGAGTAAAATGTTTCTTCAATTCGGCTACAGCTTCCCCAGACGGCAAGTGGGTATGGCGCCCTCGCAATTTTTTACGAAAGTTTCTGACGGCAGCCTCGACCTTTTCATGACACGCTGTTGTTGTCTCTGCCATGATTTTGAATAAAGGTCAACGATAATGTCGGAAGAACGCTGGTCGAGGGCCACAGCACTGTACTCTTGGCACCGGCACCGGACTTTCGATCGAGGTGTGTGGTGCGCAAATAGTAAAATTGGGCTCCTGTCGTGGAAATCTCACCGCGTCTCCGCCACCATGTAATTTTTCTTGTGGCTGAACCAAGCCACATCCGAACGGTTAGCGGAGCGGCCAGGGTTCGCAAAGAACGTTTGTTGAATTGGGGCTGTTTATAGGATACGTAGAGACAGGAATTGAGATTTGGCCTCTTCAATCGAAAAGACTATCAATGGCCCTTTTGTCATGTACTGAGGAGAAATATCATGAGGTGGCTAGACATAGGTTAAATTGAAAGTGAGCTGATCCTTGATTGAAGTTATCAAGCCATGTGACATGTCATTGACTTTGTATGGATTCAAACCAACTGCCCGCATGCCAAGACCAAGTCGCTTGCTCAAGGTAACAGTGTTCCATATGTTGAGGGTATGATTCTAATCTTTATCAACATGTAGGAAGTCGAGAGTCCTCATTTTGTCTAACTGTCCAACCAATTGTGTCGTGTGACAATGCAGCCTCCGATTGGAACTTGGAACAACATGACAAAGCAGCCTCCGATTGGAACTTGGAACAACATTGGTATAGTTTTGCATTTGGCTGAAGCTAGCGGGCCGCGATGAAGCACCGATTGTGTTGGTGTGTCTGACGCGTCACGATGCGCAGACGGTCTATTTTTCTGGTCTCTTACTGTTCTTGACTTGGTACAGCCCAATGCTGTGTTACTAGATGTTGTGCTTGCACGATACTCGTATCATGCTTGCATTATCATTTGTCTCGAGAGGGAAACAACAATCAACTTGATAGTTTTGCATTTGATACACATAGGCACTGTACCGGGCCAATAGTTGATAGCTATCACTGTCGTTGGCAAAAAGTTCCGGGTAACTGGATTGTTGCTGGAAACTCTGTGGGCCAGCCTGAATCTATAGATAGCTCTGTGGTCGCTGACGAACTCAAAGAGTATTTATTGCGATAATATCAAGGGCAATTGCTATGCGGGCCGAACCACTTTGCTACGGGGGCCGTCTTAGGGGGGCCGTGTGGCTAAGCTGGTATCAGCCACAAAGAAGGTACTTGGCAAAGTGCCTTTTAAATACACAGAACTTGAAGTCCGCATACAATACGCTGAGTCTCGATGAATACTGTATATATGTTATACCCTTCAAATTTTTTGTGAAACAGCCACCCAAGGGACCCGAACGTATTTCTGACAAATGCAGAAATACACAAGAAGCTCAGGAATACGCTCCCACAGATCAAAACTGAAGTTACACACGCACGTTGATACAATCCTCACACTCTGTCCCATTACCCAAGCTTTCTCTAGCCGATGGTAATGAATCAATTGGCCTTTTTGCGCCGTGCAGACTTCGAAGTTTTCGTTTTGGGGGAGGCTCCGGGTCCTCGTCGTCACTGATGATTTCCCATTGGCTTCGACGCCTCCGAACGCTAGGCTGCCTTCTATGGCCTCTTTGCCGCACTCCTGTTTGCTTGCCAGGCCCGAGGACTGCTTTCCTTCGTACAGTCTTGCGACTTACGCTAGCTCTGCCTACTGCCATCTGATTAATCGCCATGTTCTCCGGGACAGACTGGGAAGCATTCTTTGGCCGTCCTCGAAGATTCCCAGCGATCTTTGGGTCGAGAATTCGACGGTAAGGGTTCCGCGACGTAGGTTCTCGAAGGTGCCAGCGAGGATGAACGTCCCATTTTGCCGAAAGCATTCCCGCTTCCAACTTATTATAAATTGTATGGCGGCAAGGAGTACCCAGCTGCCAGGAAACAGTACAGTCCTCGTTGCAGTCACCAATTGGTTCTGGCCAAGCGCAGGACTTGCTTGGTATAGACCTGGTGGCGTAGCGATACTCTCTTGCGACAAGACTCAGCCCTGGCTGTGACATCACCATACGAAGCTCCCCTAGGTACTCTGACCCAGGCCCGGAATATGCTCGTGCTGTCAACACTTCGTCCTGCGAGCAGTTATCCAGAAAGTCGCGCTCCTGATCACTCAACATGCCCTCAATCGCTTCAACAAGCCCATACAAATGGCTCATTCCATTAAGCAGATAGCTTTTGACGTTGTTGTTACTCGCTTCCGTGCCAGAAGTCACCCGATTTCCAAAATTGCGGTAATGCTTAATAAACCAATGAGCCCATTGGGTACTTATTGGCAAGTAGGTATTGTAAAGGTACATTAGAATTGATTGCTGGTCATTGAACTCCTCACATAAATGTGCCCAAGCCTTCTCGTAGTCAGCTTTGGTCTTTGCAAAGACCACGAGTTTCCATAACTCAAGGACCCCACGGTAGTTATGCGTCACATGCAAGGTTTGATCGGTTCGCAACGGCGGGCTGGCATCTTTCCCTGCGGCGAGAACTGCTTCCATGTCTCCCGTAGTGAGCGCTACCTGCGGCTGTTCACCATCAGAACTGCCATATTCATAGCTGTCGTCCTCTTCCTTTATGTCCTTCCATCTCCGTTTGGCATTGAGAAGAACGTTGGAGTTGATATGGTGAATGCATAGTTGTTGCTGACTATCGGGGTACTGGCTCTCTAATGCCGCCTTCATCTGCTTGTCAAAGTCCGTGATGATCACGTCAGGCGACTGGATTTCATGCCTTGCAGTCAGCTGTCTAATTCCTTCAGCGAGGAACTGGAAACCTTCTCGTCTCTCATTATCAATCAAGCCGAAAGCGGCATTGTACACAGACTTGAGGCAGGTCTGAC